TGAACAAGGAAAAACAGCTTTTCTCTAAGATCTGCAACACAGCCCATTTCTACCACTTTTATTCAACAGAATACTGGAAGTCCTACCCAGAGCAATTAGGCAAGAGAAAGAAATAAAAGTCACCCAAATTGGAGAGGAAGAAGTCAAAATTATCCTTATTCACAGATAACAAAATCTTCTATTTGGAAAAACTGAAAGACTTCACCAAAAAACTGTTAGAACTTACAAAAAGGTTTCAGTAAAGATGCAGAATTCAAACCCAACATAAAAAAATCAGCAGCATGTATCATGCCAACAGCAAATAATTAGAAAAAGAAATCAGGCCAGGCGCGGTGGCTCATGCCTGTAATCCCAGCACTTTGGGAGGCTGAGGCGGGCGGATCACCTGAGTCAAGAGTTCGAGACCAGCCTGACCAACAGGGAGTAACCCCGTCTCTACTAAAAATACAAAAAATGAGCCCGGCGTGGTGGTGCACACCTGTAATCCCAGCTACTCGGGAGGCTGAGGCAGGAGAATCGCTTGAACCCAGGAGGCAGAGGTTGCGGTGAGCCGAGATCGCGCCATTGCACTCCAAACTGGGCAACAAGACCAAAACTCTGTCTCAAAAAAAAAAAGAAAAAAGAAAAAGAAAAAGAAAAAAAGACATTAAGAAAATCCCATTTACTGCTGGGCACGGTGGCTCACACCTGTAATCCCAGTACTTTGGGAGGTCGAGGCAGGTGGATCACAAGGTCAGGAGATCAAGACCATCCTAGCTAACACGGGAAACCCTGTCTCTACTAAACATACAAAAATTAGCCAGGTATGGTGGCGGGCACCTGTAGTCCCAGCTACTTGGGAGGCTGAGGCAGAGAACTGCTTGAACCCGGGAGGCAGGTGTTGCAGTGAGCCGAGATCGCACCACTGCACTCCAGCCTGTGTGACAGAGCAAGACTCCGTCTCAAGGAAAAAAAAAAAAAAGACTTAAATCTAAGACCTGAAACTACAAAACTACTAGAAGAAAACAAAGGGGAAATGCAAATTCTTTTGGAAATTGGTCTGGGTCAGATTTTTTTTGTGTAAGACCTCAAAAGCATAGGCAACAAAGGGGAAAAAAAAATAGGCAAAAGTAAAAAAATTTACATCAAGTTGAAAAGCTTCTGCACAGCAAAGGAAATAATCAACAAGCCAGGCCTGTAATCCCAGACGCTTGGGAGGCTGAGGCAGGAGGGTCTCGAGCCCAGCAGTTCGAGGCTGCAGTGAGCTATGATCGCACCACTGCACTCCAGCCTGGATGACACAACAAGACCCGAAGCAAGAAACAAAACTATCAAAGCAGTGACGAGACAATCTACAGAATGGGAGAAAATATCTGAAAACTATCCACCCAACAAGGCATAAATAACCAGATTATATAAGAAATTCAGCTCAACAGCAAAAACACAAATAACTTTATTTAAAAATGGACAGAAGATCTGAATAAATATTTCTCAAAAGAAGACATACAAATGGCCAACAAGTGTATGAAAAATGCTCAACATGACTAATCACCAGAAAAATGCAAATCAAAACCACAATAAGATTTCTTTTTTTTTTTTTTTTCTTTTTTTTTTTTTTTGGAGACGGAGTCTGGCTCTGTTGCCCAGGCTGGAGTGCAGTGGCCGGATCTCAGCTCACTACAAGCCCCGCCTCCCGGGTTCACGCCATTCTCCTGCCTCAGCCTCCCGAGTAGCTGGGACTACAGGCGCCGCCACCTCGCCCAGCTAATATTTTTGTATTTTTAGTAGAGACGGGGTTTCACCATGTTAGCCAGGATGGTCTCGATCTCCTGACCTCGTGATCCGCCCGTCTCGGCCTCCCAAAGTGCTGGGATTACAGGCTTGAGCCACCGCGCCCGGCCCACAATAAGATTTCATCTCACCCTAGTTAAAACGGCTTTTATGAGAAAGACCAGGAATAGCAGATGCTGTTGAGGATGTGGAGAAAGGGGAGCTGTCGTACACTGTTGGTGGGAATGTAAGTTAGCACGGCTGCTATGGAAAACAGTATGGAGGTTCTTCGAAACACTACAAATAGAACTGCCATCGGACCCAGCAATCCCACTACTGGGTATAGCCCCAAAAGAAGGCAAATCAATATACTGAAGAAATACTGCACTCCCATGCTCACGGCAGCACTACTCACAATAGCCAAGATTTGCAATAGACCTAAGTGTCCATCAAAGGATGATGGAGCCGGGCGCGGTGGCTCAAGCCTGTAATCCCAGCACTTTGGGAGGCCGAGATGGGCGGATCACAAGGTCAGGAGATCAAGACCATCCTGGCTAACACGGTGAAACCCCGTCTCTATGAAAAAATACAAAATATTAGACAGGCGTGGTGGCGGGCGCCTGTAGTCCCAGCTACTCGGGAGGCTGAGGGAGGAGAATGGCGTGAACCCAGGAGTCGGAGCTTGCAGTGAGCTGAGATCTGGCCACTGCACTCCAGCCTGGGCGACAGAGCGAGACTCCGTCTCAAAAAAAAAGGATGATGGATACAGAAAATGTGGTACATAAAACACAATGAAATACTAGCCATAAGAAAGGACAAAATCTTGTTATTTGCAGCAACACAAACAGAACTGGAGGTCATTCTGTTAAGTGAAATAAACAGGCACAGAAAGCCAAACAGTGCATGTTCTAACTCAAAGGTGGGAGCTAAAAATGTGGACTTCATGAAGACAGCAGACTGGTGACTACCAGAGGTGAGGGGGAAGAGGGGATGAATAGAGGTTGACTGATGAATAGTTAGGAAGAAGGAATAAGGCCCAGTGTGCGAAAGTTCGGCAGGTGACAACAGTTAACAAGAATCTACAGTATATTTCAAATATCAGAAGAGAGCAATTCAAACGTTTCCAGCATGACATAAACGTTTGGGATGATCGATATCCCAATTACCCTGATCTGATCATTACACATTACACGAATGTATCAAAACGTCACAGGTACCCTGAAAACATCTATTTTGTATCAATAAAAGATAAATCTTGGCATTAAAAATTTAAAGAGTTAAATACAAATCTTATAAAAGGTATAAAAGATCTAATACTGGAAACTACAAAACACTGCAAAGAAAAACTAAAGAAGACCTAAATAAATAAAGAGATGACACTGTATTCATGGGTCAGAGACTCAATGTTACAATATTGTCAATTCTTCTCCAGATTCAATGGAATCTGCCGCCTGGCCCCAAGAAAAACAGGGAGTTTTGCAGAAACTGACAAAGTGACTGAAAAATTCATGAGAACCAGGAATAGATAAAGTAATTTTGACAAAGAAGAGACAAAAAATTTCAAGTCTCATATTAAATCAGAAGCAGTTACCAAGACAGTCGGTCACACAGATAAGTGAAACAGGAAAGAGTCCACAAACAGACCCACACATATATGGACAACTGATTTGCAACAAAGATGCAAAGACAGTTCAGTGGAGAAAAGACAGTCTTTTCAACAAACGTTTCTCTTTTCAACAACTGGTTCTCCATGTGCCAAAAAAAAAAACCTTCAATCTGTAGCTTGCACCATATACCAAAAAATCAAAAAGGATCATAGCCCTAAACGTAAAACCTAAAACTCTCTTCAGTGAGGAAACCCTGTGACGACCCTGGTTTCGGCGAAGGTTTCTCAGATATGACAAGAGCACTCCGGAAAAGGTCTAGCTGATAAACTGGACTGCATGAAAATTAACAATTCTACTCCTCGGAAGACACTGTGAAGAGGACTGAAAAGACAAGGCACAGACTTATTTACAAACCGTATCTCTGATTAAGGACCTGCATCCAGAATACATTAGAAAAACATTACAGGCTGGGCGTGGTGCCTCACGCCTATAATACTAATGCTTTGGGAGGCTGAGGCGGGCAGATCACCTGAGCACAGGAGTTCAAGACTAGCCTGGGCAACATGGGGAAACCCTGTCTCTACAAAAAATACAAAAATTAGCTATGTGTGGTGACACACGCCTGTAGTCTCAGCTACTTGGGAGGCTGAAGTGGGAGGACCGCTCGAGCCCAGGAGGTCAGGCTGCAGTGAGCTGAGATTGTACCACTGCACTTCAGCCTGGGCAACTGAGTGAGACCCTGTCTCAAAAAAAAAAAAAGATTAAAACTTAACAATAAAAAAAGAAACAACTCAGCTAAAAAAAAGAAAAAGAACAGATATTTCCCCAGAGAGGGATGACAAATGGGCCCATGAAGATGCCCAACGTCACTGTCAACGGGGAAATGCACACTCAAATGCTGTGCGACGCCTCCACACGCCCCTCAGACGGGGGACAGTTAAAAGACTGATCTCAGAGAAACGGAAGGACTCATTCTCTGCTTGTGGGCATATAAAACAGTGTAACTCCCTTGGAAAACAATGTGGCGGTTTCTTAAAAAGCCAAACATATGCCTCCCCTATGATCCCGCCACTCTACTCCTAGGTATTTACCCAAGGGAAACAAAAGCCCACGTCCACACAAAGACCTGTCGGCACACGAAGGTTCACAGCAGCTTTATCTGCAACAGCCACAACCTGCAAACGACCCACATATCCGTCAACGGGTGACAAACTGCAGGCACCTGGACACCGCTTGGCAATGAAAAGGAGGAATTACAGACAACAGCTACGACACACAGGGACCACACAACAATCGTGCCGAGTGACAGCTCGACAAGAGTGTGTATCCTGTGTGAGTCCATCTACGTGGAATTCTAGAAAACTCCAAGCAATCTATAGGGACAGAAGACAGCTGCCTGGGCTCGGGCAGGGGCAGGAAAGAGTGATCACGAGGGAGCACAGGGGACTGGGGGTGACGGGAACACTCGTTTTTTGATTGTGTTGCTTTCACAGATGTAACCATACTCCTGAACTTGTCCAACTGGACGCTTTAAATAATGTGCAGATTACTGTGTTTGTAATACCTTTATAGTGCCAGTTTGTTTGTTTTTAATGAGGTGACTAGGAGGAGGGGCCTCGGCTGCCCTGCATTCACTGCACTCACCCAAAGCGCTGGTGTCTGTTGAGGGTGAACAGCAGGTAGTCAGCCATGGTCTCCTCCCCGACCAGGTGGTCCAGCACCGTTCCTGTGGAAGCGGCAGCCGAGGTAAGCACTGGAAAGAGCCCACATCTATGCTCTTGCCAAGCTCCAACACATCCCTTCCAGTCTCAGCCCAAAGACACTGTGCTCGTAAGGAAGAGGCCACCCACCGACAGAGGCTCCCATGGAGGACGGCACTCAGCTGTGGTCCCAGGTCCAACTCCTGCCTGGCATCTGCGACCCACCTCTCTGCCCCGGTCCATCAAACAAGGAAAGCAAAGGCCGCTCATGGGGCCACTCACGGGGCAGGGCGTAATGGTGACCAGAGCCCATCAGCTATGCGCTACTACAGCTCTCACACTAAGCTCCGAGGAAGGTCCGGCAGCAACCAGGTCAAAGGCAGTAACAACCCCAGTCTAGGGCCCTGTGCCACAGTCAGTCCTAAAGGTGGGGTGGCAAGGGCCCCAGCCCCAGCCCAGCCCCGGCTCACCACACAGGGCCAGCTTCAGGCCTGTCTCCACACTTTCAATCCGAGGAGCCAGCACTCCAGGAGTGTCCAACAGGAACATCAGGGGCCGCTCAGAGACCTGTGTGGGCACAGAGGGCACAATCAGGCCGCAATGGCAGCCTCCCACCCAGGTGGGCTGCTCAGGAAGCCTGGGCAGCCCCTGACACCCAGCGCTCCGAGGAAGGCCTCGGGGACCCAACCCCACGGCAGCGTCACTCTCACGAAGCTCCAGGCTCCCCAGAGGATCTAATTCCCAATTAATTTGGAGAATAAATAAAAGCATCAGGTCCCAACAGCTTGTCTTCTGCTCCCGAACAAACCACAAGGAAGGGAGTGGAGGGCGGGGGACGTGCTGCTCAGGTCTGCCCTGACTGCTGCGTGGCCCTGGACAGTGGCCTCCTCATCTGGAAATGGGGAAAACAGTGTGCCTTCCCCGAAGGTTTGGCGTAAAGACTATGAGGACTATGGAGTAAGGATGGGGGCAGCACCTGCCAGGGGGTGCTCAGCGGGGACACTGAGTGGAGGGAGGGAAGCGTGGTCAGCAGCAGGAAGCCACGCAGAGGTCAGCAGGTGCCAGATGCCTGCACAGCTCCTGACAGAGTGCTGGGCCTGGCCCCTGAGGACTCTACCTGAATTCTGGACATCACAGCTCTGGTGATCCCAGGCTCGCCACCCACCCTGGCGGCTTTTCCTGCAGGAAAAGGAGAAAAGGAGGCTCAAATGTATACTAAATACAGAAGCTGCAAAACAAGCAGGGAGACGTATGTAACAAACACATCTGGCCAAAATGGAAAAACCTAAAAGCCAAATGAGCTTCCCAAGGCTATGATTTGTTTCACTTTCAGTCCCAAACCAGCTCACAGCAACGGCACTTTCCAAGCCACACAGAGGCTGAGATTATTCAACAAACGCACCAGAACTTGCCTCCCCAGGACTGGAAAGGAACTGTCAGACTGCGGCGGTCAGACCAGAGCTGCTCCTTCCACGCGGTCCCCCTCCTGGACTCACCCCTGCACCCCAAGGTCAGCCTGCCTCCCACAGCACTGTCCACAGGGGGCTGGCTGCTCCAGGACCCAGCTCAGGGGATATCCCAAGGAGAGGCCACTCCACTGTGGACAAACAATGCGAGAATAAAAAAACACAAGTGTCCATCCAGATGAATGGACAGACAGGATGTGGTCTGTACACACAATGAGGTGATCAGCCTTAAAAAGGAATAAAATTCTGACACTCAACACAGATGAACCTTGAGAAACATCACGATCAGTGACATCAGCCAGTCACAAAAGGCCAAGTACTGGGAGTCCCCTTGGAGGAGGTAGTTACAGTCATCACATTCACAGACAGAAAGTGGAACGAGGGGTGTGCGGGGCTTGGGGAGTGACTCTTCATATTTACAGTTTCATTTTCAGGTAACCAAAATATTTGAAAATAGTGGTGCTGGTTGCATAACCCTATAAATGTACTTAATGCCACTAATAAAAAATAACATGCTTAAAAATAAACTTAAAAGAATAAATGACTGTAACAACTCTCCGATTAGCACCAAAAACACTCTCTGTAAAATAATGGTTCGCTATAGTTTAAAGCCTTCAGATTTGCACATCACAAATGGGTTTGTTAATAAATACCTTATTAATGTGAAAAATGAAGCCAATAAGGACTTGAATTAAACTTGAAAACACTGAAGGAAAAGAGCACACGGGGCATTGAGGGGTGCTGGGGGCTTTGGCTTTGAATCAGAGTCTGAGAAAAGCTAGGAGGGAGGAGCGGAGAGGAGCACCTGCGACTCCAGAGTCCAGGAAACGTCCAGCTACAGCAAGGCGGACGCCACCGGAGGAATGGCCTTGCGGCCTCCCTGCCTGATAATCCAGTCCTGTCTACTTCACACGCTTTGAATTCTCTGGATCAAAGGGATTTAAATAAATGAAAAAATACCGAAGTTTAGAAAAGCCATCCTCATATTAAAGATTTTAAAAGAGAGAAAAATTAAGTGTGAAATTCACAGCAGAATGACCTGGTCCCACTGTTCAACCCTCCTGTGAACTGGACTGAACGAGACAAGCCCAGATGCGCTGGGGGCTGTGGGGTCAGCAGGAGACTGGCAGTGCTCCTCGGGCACGTCCCCTCCGGGAAAGATGGAGGTATCAGCACACCAGCCGCACGCGCCAGTACCTTTCCTGAGGTGCTGCCTCCGGAGGGAGTTGATCAGGGAGGACTTGCCCACGTTGGGGACCCCGATGACCATGATGCAGTACTCCAGGTTCTGTGGAGGCAGAGAGAGGGGTCACAGGGGCCACCCTGGCCACTAGAGTCTGAGATTCTCCAACCCCACCCAGGCAAGGGGACCCCAGGCCAGGCCAGCTCAGGGAAGAACGGGAGGTTAACGCAGAGGCTCTGCCCACCCAGTGGGGACGGCCTCAGCCCTTTCCACTGAAGAGAACGAGAGGACAAAGGAGGGGCCTCCCTGCCTGGGGCGCAGCACCTTCTCCTTGGAGAGGCCAAGCAGGAGGGGCTGGCCCATCCCGCGCCAGCCTCCCAGCCCCGGGTCCCACCAACCAACCTCTCCTCGGTGGTAGCGGGGGCTGCTCCCCATCAGCTCAGTGACCATCGGGATGATCTGCAACAAACACCCACTCACGGAGCCACCCGAGGTCGGACGTCTGTGCACCGACCCACTCCTGCCACCTCAGAACAGGATTAGGGATTCCAGGTCTCCACTTTCACACATCAGTTAGGAAAACAGAGACCTTGTATCTGGAATTCTACCCAACATTTCATAGGCAAACTGGGCATTGCCCTTCATCTGGAGGTAGCACACGCAAGTATCCGGTGCTGGGAAACTGGAGTTCTGTCCAGCTCAGACGTCAGACTGAGCTCTGGGGCCGGAGGACCACCTATGCCCGTCCCCTCCTATCAAAAACAAGCAGGGCAGACCCGGGGCTTCAGGGACAGCTGTGACTGTAACTACCTTCTAATGAAGAAGTACATCAAGCCAGAAAATTCTGCCACGTACAACTGGAAACATGAGCTACCTGAGTCTCCAAAAGACTCTGACCACCTACAACCCTGGAATGTGTTCACAGCCTGACCTCGTGCCCTCAGTACAGGGAGATGCACTTGCCCCAGGAGGTCACATTCATGTGTGGCAGCTAGAAACCAGTACCCAGGATCTTTTCCAAAGTTCTGCTTCTTACTAAAGCATAAAACAGTTTATAGTACTCCTCGAACCTACTGAAGCAGAAACGTCAGAGCACAGACAAAAAGCCTACCTGCTTGACATTTTCATCCTTTAAACAGTTGGTAAAAATGACATTTTTTAGGCCTTCTCCTTCTAAGCGTTGCATAATTTTCTGAAAGACACAAAACATTTCCATTTGACTTTTTTTATTGGAGTCTTGGCTGTGTCACCCAGGCTGGAGTGCAGTAGCACAATCTCGGCTCCCTGCAACCTCCGCCTCCCCGGTTCAAGTGATTCTCGTGCTTCAGCCTCCCAAGTAGCAGGGATTACAGGCGTGCGCCACCACATCCAGTTAATTTTTGAATTCACTAGCCCTAACATGCAGTGAAACCAGTGCAAAGCTGTATCATATTTCTAAACATCAGTGTTGTTCATCAGTGGACCTAAAATATGACTGATGCTTAAATCAACAAGTCCTTCACCGGTTCAGCTGGTTTTATTGAGCTGTCCATCAAGATGACATGGATGGAGAGATCAAGCACAAGACACACACCTGAAGCCACACACTCTGGGTAGCAAATGCACTCGGGTGTCCCTGCTCAGGGAGGTGGAAGGCAGGGCCACCCAGAGGCAAGTCAACCTCTCTCCCTGGATTCTTCAGAAGCACTGGCCTTTCTCTGACCAGGCGAGACACTGCTGTGCCCTGTACTAGACGGCTACCCACCAGTCTACAAAAAGTTGCATTTCCAAAGGCAGAAGTAGCCACTGAAGTGATGTAAAAGTACCTAACTAGCGAAAGCACTTGTGATGATTTAAAAAGTAAAATAAAAAAAAAAAACAGGCCAGGTGTGGTGGCTCACACCTGTAATCTCAGCACTTTGGGAGGCTGAGGCTGGCGGATCACCTGAGGTCAGGAGTTTGAGACCAGCCTGGCCAACATGGCGAAACCTTGTCTCTACTAAAAATACAAAAATTAGCTGGGCATGGTGGCACACACCTGTAATCCCGGCTACTCGGGAGGCTGAGCCAGGAGAATTGCTTGAACCCAGGAGGTGGAGGCTGCAGTGAGCCAAGATCGCGCTATTTCACTCCAGCCTGGGTGACAACAGCAAAACTACATCTCAAAAAAAAAAAAAAAAAAAAGACTGGGGGGCGGGGGGTGGTCCACGTCTATGTTTACTCAAAAGAAACCATAAACATCAGCTGTGTGGGCCAGTTCCACGTCTGGGTTTTTTTTTTTTTTTTTTTTTTTTTTTACCTCCACACACCTTGCCCAGGGTCACCTGCACCCCTGACTCTGCTCTTTGCTTTGGAAAAATCCTTTAGCTCCTTCGGGCCTCCCAGCAGCACTCTCTGCTTCTGAAATCCCAAGGTGTGCACAAGCTGGCTGGTGGACAAGCCCTTGGTTCAAAGCCGCACACCGGACACCTGGGGGCACCACAATCACCACAGAAGACCTCAGACCAGAATGGCCGCATGTGGCTACTAAAACTAATCAAGCAAAATGTGAAAGTCACATGTGGCAGTAGACACATGTCAGGTGCTCACAGGCAGCCACCACGTGAGACACAGAGACCCCATCAGCAAGGAAAGGTCCACAGCACCACCGCGGCCACCACTCGGGCTCTGGCAGCACAGCCTGGCCACTTCCCACAAGAGACGCGCGCTCACTGGGTGTCCGGATCACGAGCCACACGTTAGAGGGAGGAACGCCATATGAGGAACGATGCTGGCACAATTCTGCAAAGAAAGGACTGTTTCTAAAGCAGAGCCTGCCTGGGCAAACTGACAAGAGTATGTGTCCAGCAACTCTTCTATTAGAACAACCGACCTAGGGAAAACACAGCCACACTGCTGAAGGCATCTGCGAGAAAGGCCTTTACCTGCTGCTCTGTAAGATCCGCCAAGTCCATCTTGTTGAGGACCAGCAAGTGAGGCTTAAGCCCAAGGGTTTCCTGAAACAGAGGGTTGCGGCCTGAAAGTGGGATGTGGCAAAATTAAGGTAAAAATTCCACCAAAGCTTTACCAGCCAACCAACTATTTTTCTTGACATCAGTGAACGAGTCATCACATCTTGCCAAGTCATTCCTCAAGTACAGGAGGAAAGCCCCAGCTGGCAGGAACATTTAAACGGAGGTTTCACAGCCTACCTAGAGAATGCCACCGCTGCAGCCTACTGTCAGGCTTGAGTGACCCAGACACATGTATGAAACAAGTAAGTTTCAAAGACACGCAGTCTGGACCCCACACCACAGATTCCGACTAACTGGTCTGGAAAGGGGCCTACCAATTCCTATTTTTAAAAGCCTCTCCAGGTAATTCTAACATGTAATATGACTTCAGGCAGAGGGGCCTCCCCTGCTCTGTGAAAGGATATTCGGGCATCATGGACCTCGATGATACAGTCCACCAGCTTCAGGCTGCTCTTCATCTTCTTCAGCCCTGGAAAACAGGAGGACGCCTCAGCGAAGGAGCTCACAACCTTTCTAGAGTAAACGATTCAAGCTGCACCGTCCAGTGTGGCACGCCACCATAAATAACCTACAAAGTCTACATCTGAGTGAAGCGTACTAAGTAACAGTAACAGGTAACATCCACTGAGTGCCTCCTCCGAGTTCCACACCCTTGGAATGGGAGACGGGGAGGCGCCCTGCCAGAGGGTGGGCCATGTGTCAAAAGCCAGATGCGGTCTTCACCACCTGACTCGTGGCTGACTCTGGGTGGAATATTTAACTGCCATGGGGTTTTTTTCTTTTCTTTTTTTTTTTTTTTTTTTTTTTGAGACGGAGTCTCACTCTGTCACCCAGGCTGGAGGGCAGTGGCGCAATCTGGGCTCACTGCAACCTCCGCCTGCCAAGTTCAAGCAATTCTCCTGCTTCAGGCTCCCAAGTAGCCGGGACTACAGGCACGCGCCACCCTGCCCGGTTAACTTTTTGTATTCTTAGTAGAGACGTGGTTTCACCATGCTGGCCAGGCTGGTCTCGATCTCCTGACCTCGTGATCCGCCCGCCTCGGCCTCCCAAAGTACTGGGATTACAGGCGTGAGCCACCGCGCCGGGCCTTTCCATTTCCACGGGTCTTAATCTGGGCTATAAAACAGTAACACTGGCTCATCAGGCCCCTGCCACCTTGTAGGAAAGATGACCAGTCCCCTAACCAGGAACACCACACACAACCGAGATAACAAAGCTTCCAGCTTCCCTCCCCTCTAGTGTTGTCCAAAGACCGAGGACACAGCCTCAGACACCCACACGGACCCTTCTTCCAGCTCGGCCCCCAGGGCACGCAGAGCCGAGGCAGGAGTGGCCATCACCACACCTAGAGGGGCTGGGCCGGCCCCAGCGGTCTTCTCGGGGCCGAACTGTGACAAACAGTAAGAAATTACCAAAGACTTATTTAAGCAGGAAAACGACTCAATATATGAGTTAAAGCTGAACAGGTCCTTCATGCCCGCTGTTTCATTTAATCCCCAAAAGACTCAGAAGTCTATCTTGTCAAGAACACGTGAAAACGGAGGCTTCGGGGGATTAAACGGGCAAGAAGGCACTTGCTGGGAACAGAGGACGGGGCGGCGGGCCAGAGGTCGGAGGTCAAGCAGGCCCCGGGCCCGCGGCTGCGTTGCGGGGGCACTCGTGGGAACGGGCCTCTCCCGCAGCTGCGCAGAAGGCGTCTCGGCAGCTCCGGGAGCGGGTGAGACCAGGGAAGGAGGGGAGACGAGGGAGGAAGGGGGGGCCCGCCTGGGACGACCGGGAGAGACAGGCGACGGCCGAAACGGCGGTGGGAGGGTAGCACAGGCGCCGCGGCCGTGGGCATGACCTTGCCCCTCCCCGCCGTGCCTCACCCTTGGCCATGTGGCCCGGGAACCAGCGCGCCACGTCGCGGCCGCTCAGTAGGAAGTTCTCCCGCCAGGCGGCCTGGGCGGTGCTGCACAGCGCGCGCGGGGCCAGTGTCATGGCAGCACCGTCCCCGGAAACGCTCCCGCAGCCGACCTCCTGTGCGCCGCCGCGACCCGCCTCTCAGGTTCCGGCGCTCCAAGGTCCCGCAGCACGGCCCGCGCGTGCGCACGACGTCGCCTCCGCCCCTGGCGAAGCCTGGAGTGGGCGGGCCCCGGGCCCAGGGGGAGGGGCGAATGGTGGGCCGGGAGCCGGGGCGGGACTAGGAGGAGACCCCGGGGACCCGGGGGGGGCGGGGCTCGTGGGTTTAAGAAATTCGCAGATTAACATTCATTAAATATTAAAACTCATCGCTCTCCCTTAAGCATATCCTGAGTATAAGTGTAACAAAATTTAGCAATCTCTTTTTACAATTTGGTAAAATCTCTCAAATACTTTAAATTTACCTTATAAATGTAATCTCTTCATTTTCTAAGTACTTACGGGTTTTTGTTTGTGTTGTTTTGTTTGAGACAGAGTCTCGCTCTGTTGCCCAAGAGTGCAGTGGCACGATCTCGCTGGTTGCAACCTCCAACTCCCGAGTTCAAGGGATTCTCCCACCTCAGCCTCCGGAGTAGCTGGGATTACAGGCGCCCGCCACCACGCCCAGCTGATTTTGTATTTTTAGTAGAGATGGAGTTCCACCATGTTGGCCAGACTGGTCTCGAACTCCCGACCTCCAGTGATCTACCTGCCTCGGCCTCCCAAAATGCTCGGATTACAGGCATGAGCCACTACGCGCAGCCTCAAGTACTTCAGGGTTTAATATAACAAACCATTTCCAAATACTGACTTCAGTTCTGTTAAACCAATTAATACAACGAGGCTGAAATATTCTCCACTGTCCAAGACTAGACATAAATGTAGTCGGATTTCAACTCTAAATCAGCAGTCAGCAACTGCTCAACTGCACACTGCATTACAAGAGTATTCCTCTACTGGAATTTTTATTTTTGAGACGGAGTCTCGCTCTGTCACCAGGCTGGAGTGCAGTGGCGCGATCTTGGTTCACTGCAACCTCCACCTCCTGGGCTCAAGCAATTCTCCTGCCTTAGTCTCCCAAGTAGCTGGGACTACAGGTGCACACCACCACGCCCGGCTAATTTTTTTATATTTTTAGTAGAGATGGGGTTTCGCCATGTTGGCCAGGCTGGTTTCGAACTCCTAACCTCAGGTGATCTGCCCACCTCAGCCTCCCATAGTGCTGGAATTATAGGCATGAGCCATGGCACCCAGCCTCCACTGGAATTTTTTAAACAAGCTACTGAAAATACCAAACATGCTCAAATTCTAAGTACAAAAATATTGCCATGGTTCTGATGTTCTTAAACCACCTAATACCCTAACGCCTAGCTGCAAACATTTTTGGGCGTGAGAGACGTGGCCCCTCCACGGAAGACAGAAGCCTCCTCCCAGGTGGTTTCTGGGCTGAGTGGGACAGTCAGGGCCTCCTGCTAGGTCAATGTCCCCAGCCCCCCTCCTCACCAAGCTGGTCCCTCACACCCAGAGGGGGCAGCCTGGGTCTTGCTGTCTTTGTCCCTGAGATACAGAACTGATGAAACCTTAAATATCAACGATAAAGATTTTTGTACTTGAAGGAAGCTGCATTCCCTCATGGTCCTAGGAGCACAAAACCACAATAAAACCCTGTGGAATTTGAATTTTTCTCACAGGCGTCTGATGGGCAGGTGTCTCTGGAGAGACCAGTCTGGTGACACAGCAAATGCAGGTGGGGCTGCTTGCTACAGAGAGAGGCTGGGGCTCGGGAGGCTTGGGGTCAGGGAACGCCCTAGGAGGGGCGATTTGAACAGAGACCAGAGGGTGAGAAGAGAGGAGCCCTGCAGATCCAGGCTGGGGTGGAGGGGCCGGAGAGGGGCCTGGCTTCCCAGCACACTCACCCCAACACTGCCCAGCACCCCAGCACACTCACCCCAGCACTGCCCACACCCCACACACTCCCCAGCTCCCATGGGCCGGGCACCCTGTTTCTCATTTCAGGTCTTATTAGGTATTCACTTCCTCCAGAAAACCCCCAGCCTCTGGACAGGGCACCCTCATCTCCCCAGTGCCTGCGAACCTGCGAAGTGGGCGTCTGACGCAGCAGCAGCTGATGAGCAAGAGGAGGGTTGTCAGCTACGCTGTCATCCCAGGCAGCAGCCATGAGAATGCAGGGGGACGAGAAGCAACTACAGGACCCAGAGTTCAGGGAACCCAGAGTGCGGGGCCACGTGTGGTTGTGGGGATTGGAGACAAAAGGCCCTGTGTAACCTGGGCCTGGAGCAAGACAAAGACAACAGCAGCAGATGCTAGAGCCCCAAGGCAGGAAGGACAGGACAGCCTCGAGGCAGGAAGGACGGCTCTGGACGCTGCGGCTGTAATGTGCTTTATGTGCCCGGCATCTCCATGAGCATCCGGTGTCTTAGCTCAAGTCAACCCTGGCCAGACTCCAATAACAGACACAAGAACTGAGAAGATGGCTCCAGTTACCAAAAACCAGAGGACTCTCATTAACATCCCCAAATATCAAGTCAGATTGAAATCTGTCAGAGGAAACGAGGGTCCCAGCCTCCCCTGGCACAGGAAGAACAGAGCAGGCTGGACCCAGCTAGAGCCTCGGCCTGGGCTGCTGCACCTGTGGGGCCCACAGACTGAGCAGGCGGTCAGCCTCCCTCCATCCCGACAGCAGAGCACCGTGCGTCGTGGAGTAAAACGTGCGATGTGTGGCTTCCCCTGCAAACAGGATCTGGAGCTGCAAAGAAGAGCCAGGGTTAGAATGGGGATGCAATTCAGACAGCAGGGTCTGGGCAGATAAACACACAGAAAATGGCTCACGAGCATCCACCAAGAGGTGGGAAAACACAGCTCACATACTTCCACCAACGGGCGAGAAAAGGGCTCGCGCACGTACCCACCAACAGCCAGGAAAACGGCTCACACACATTCACCAATGGGCAGGAAAACAGCTCACACGTACCCACCAACAGCCAGGAAAACGGCTCACACGTATCCATCAACCGCCAGGAAAACAGCTCACCCATATCTATCAACCGGCAGGAAAACGGCTCACCCATACTACAACGCAGGAAAAGCTCACCATATCTATCAACCGCAGGAAAACGGCTCACACCATTCACCATGGCAGGAAAACGCTCACCGTATCCATGGAAAACAGCTCACCCATATCTATCAACCGGCAGGAAAACGGCTCACCCATATCTATCAACCGGCAGGAAAACGGCTCACCCATATCTATCAACCGGCAGGAAAACGGCTCACACACATTCACCAATGGGCAGGAAAACGGCTCACCCATATCTATCAACCGGCAGGAAAACGGCTCACACACATTCACCAATGGGTGGGAAAGGAAGCGCTGCTCCCCGCAGCTCAGGTGTGAACAGCATTTAGAGAAAACAAGGTGGTGTAAACACTGAATAGTGATGTGACCACAACTACTGGATCATATATGGGGAGGGTTGGGGACGGATCTGGGAGTCGGGTGGGCAGAGGGGTGGAAGAAAGCTACAACTTTATCTGATGTAATGAGAAGTCAATTAATAACACCTGAGACTGAAAACGCACGCAGCAACATTTCCAAGCAGGCTCACTGAAGAGTGATCATGAGCTGATTGGAAAACTGAACACTGACTAAATATTGGATCATATTGAGGAATGATTGTTAGTTTTTAAGTGGGTAAATAGTATCATAGTTATATGGTTTTATTTGTATGTTTTCTGAGACAGTCTTGCTCTGACACCCAGGCTGGAGTCCAGTGGCGCAGTCATAGCTTACTCCAGCCTCAACTGGACCCAAGCCCGAGCAGCTGGGACTACAGTGCATGCTACCATGCCTGGCTACTTTTTTGTGTGTATGTGGAGACCGACTCTCACTATGTTGCCCAGGCTGGTCTCAAACTCTTGGCCTCAGCAAACCTCCTGCCTCGGCCTCCCAAAGCACTAGGATTACAGGTGTGAGCCACTGCCCTCGGCATCACAGTTAAGTATTTTACGAGCATGTCTTTATCTTTTAGAGACAGGCACCAAAATATCCCCAGGTGAATGTCCTGTGTGAGACATGCTTAATAAGTAAGGGCGGGGCCAGGTGGGGAGCAAGCTTGACTTAGGGGAAGCCTGGTGGGCACTCAAAGGTTCTACCTACTTTTGTATGTTTGACATTTTGCATAGGAAATGTTTCTCAAAAAGTGGTAGCAGAAACATGTTTTTAGAGATGCGGTAAACTTAGCAGTCAGAATCAGCTGGGAGCACAGTCTGGGAAGGGCAAAAGGGGCTCCACCTGCTGTTTTGGTTTTATTTTATTTTGTTAGCACTGCAGAATTCTCTGAGTGTGCTTTTTAAGCTATATGTGTGTATAATTCTCACAAAAACAATACATTTAAAAATTATTCTTAGTTTCAACAAGAAAATGGCTTCCGAGTCTGGGGTCCCAGCCCACCCGTCACTGGTGGGTGCTCCTGCAGCACTGAGACTCAGCAGGGGCCTCTGCAGCTGGACCCAAATCCCCCGACTGGGGCACACCACATACCTGGGCGCCGGCGCCGTCTGCAGGGAGGGGCTGAGCCAGCAGGTCCAGGTCACCCCCAGTGCTGCCCACGGCCACGTAGCTGTAGGAGCCCCGAGTGTACGGGGCGCTGTGCCAGCGAGACCGCAGGACGCTCTTAGGCGCGGGGAGCTGTGGGTTTCCTGAGCCACAGAGACACTGCATGTTAACCAAGAACTCTCACCCACAGGTCTGCAACTGTTTGTGTCATTTTTTTTTTTTTAAGAGTCTCACTCTGTCCCAGGCTGGGTGCAGTGCGCAATCTGGCTCACTGCAACTCCGCCTCCCGAGTCACGCCATCTCCTGCTCAGCCCCCGAGACTGGACTACAGGCGCCGCACGCCCGCAATTTTTCTATTTTAGTAGAACGGGTCACCAGGTCTCGATCTCCGACCTGTGACCGCCCGCTCGCCTCCCAAGTGCTGGATTACAGGCGTGAGCCACCGCGCCCAGCCCTTGTTGTGTCATTTTTAAAGATTGAGCAGTTTAACGTGAAAGATGCTACACAGGAGAAAAACCGAGCAGCAGAGTGCATCAGGAAAGGCCCTTCCTGCCGACCCTGACCGGAGAACAGCAGGCTGGGACCCAGGAGCCTGTGACAGCAGCATGCTCCTGTTTCCGAGCCTTGGGTTCCTCCTCTGTAAAACTCTGATCAAGGACAACGGCATTTATTTCAGTGGCAGAAGTAGGAAGTGTTTGCAAAGTCATTTCAGTTCCTCGGAGGTAAGAACTGTTACTGACCCCACTAACATGAGGAAGGATGGTCCCTGGAGATATACAGAGTCAGCCAAATTTAGTTCTTCTCTGTTCTGAAAAGCCTAGTTTCTGTTTAGAGATCAGCCAGTAACGAGCAGAGGCAGGAACCGGCGTGTGTGGTGAGTACCTGTCATTCTTCGGAGCACTTGGGTGAGACACAGAAGTACTTCTTCATCCGACAGAGTCTCCATG